ACCCTGCCGGGTACCAGCACTGCCCATAAGCCTTTCCTCAGATCTCAGTTCTCCCATTACGACGGATGCCGTTCTGTCTGTTAGGAAGTCCTTGACATAGTTATACCCTCTCAATCCTAAGCTTAATTGGCACATCTGATGTAATATTGCCGTATGCGATGCTTTGTCGAAGGCGTTTGTAAGGTCTAATCCTAATATCGCTCGGGTAGCTCTTGTTTTGTTGTCTAGAATCTGCTTCTTAATTTGCAGCATGGCGTCTTGCGTAGAGAGCCGTGTGCGGAACCCCAACATGAAATCTGGATAGATTTCGTTTTACACAAGATAGGTGTTGACTCTGTCCAGAAAAGCGTGTTCCATCAGCTTCCCAGCACAGGATGTTAGTGATATGGGGCGTAAATTCGATAGATCGGGGGGTTTCCCAGGCTTGAGAATGAGGATTACTTTAGCTTTTTTCCACTGTTTCGGAATAGTGCCCTCGATCCAGCACTCGTTAATATATTGCATGATGTTCTCTATGACTTGGTCGTCAAGGTTCTGTAGTGTTCTGTTGGTGATCCCGTCTGGTCCCGGTGCAGATTTGGTGTTAAGCTTCTGTAGCGCAGCCCTGATTTCAGCCACGGTAAACTCCTCATCTAAAAGCTCGTTCGCGCCTCTGGTATATGGTCCATGCTCTATGACAGGCATGGCGGGAATGTACGTGTTGCTGGCCTCAGTGATAAAGTCCCCCTCACTGCTGTTATACCGGTGCACCAGTTATGCAAGGCTTGCTTGTGTGCTGATTTTATCTGGGTCTAGCAGGTGTTTTAGCATGCGCCATGTCTGGACAGCATTCATTTGGCCGTCGAGATTATTACAAACTTGGCTCCATTGCTGTTTGCTTCGCTGCTTACAATGTTCTTCGATCTGTTTGTTCAGATTGGCTATGCGCTTGCGCAAGGTCTGTTGTTTCTCTGTCCCCGCCATCTATTCTGCAGTGATAGCTTGGCCTCCCACATGTGTGCGAGATGGCTATCAATCTGCTCTGGGGGTGGACTTGAATTGATAGTTCGCATTGCCTCGCTGACATCGTTATTGACATCTTTGACCCAATCTTCAATATTGCTGATAGGGTCTTGTTTTTTCACATTTTTGACTTTTCTAAACTTATAATTATCCCAGTCGGTCCATCTAATCTGTCTCTGAATTTTTGCGGCAGCCATGGTTTCTATCCTGATTTCTAATATTCGATGATCACTCCCCAGATCATCGAGTGTGTTTTCCTATTTAGCGGTCCCCGCGTTACAAGCTATCGTTAAGCCTGGAGTGGTGTCTCTCGCAAGCCCAGTTCCCACACGCGTAGGGGAGTCGGGGTCGGTGATGAGAGTTAAGCGTGTTTCTTGAATATCCTGCCATAACATTTTTCTTTTAGCTCTTGAGTATCCGTATCCCCAAGCACGACTGCCACAAACTTTTCTATGCAAACATATCCACTTATTAAAGGCATCGAAATTTCATTATTCTTAGGTATTGGGCTGCTGACAGCATTATTGTCTTACTCTGTGTCCCCCTGGACGCATAACTTATCTGCAAAGGCGGTTTCCTGTTCTTAGGGCTGAGTTTTAATGCAAACACAAAGCACGTCTCTATATGTGTCAGTGCCATTTCCTAAGGTTTTATGTCATGTTTAATTTTTGTGTAATCTGCAGTTAGTCACTTAAAATTGAACTTTTTGCATTGCAATAAGGCTGTAAGAGAGCAATTATTTTATTTTCACTGTAATATTCACTGAATATTTAGTTTTAATATGATTTTGTAAATATAGTTTATTGTCTTTTCGAATTTATTGCCATATGTGCAATGAAATGATTTTCTACTGTCATACTTAATCATACCTAACTTTGCCAATACCGAACCATGTGTGATATATTACAGTGATACCGTAATTACTCGAATCTAACACGCACCTTTTTTCCGGTTAAGCGAGTTCATAAATCACATGCGTGTTAGAATCGAGTACGAAAAAAAAATGAAAACGATCATTCTATTGCCATCGGCATTTCCAAAATAGCCGCCCCCTACGTGCGTCGGCATCGTGCGTCGGTCATTTCTGCCTATGTGTTTCCCATGTGCAGCACTTCGTACGTGTGCTGAGGAGTTCGTCATCTTGTGCATTAGCATCGACGGCGTGGAAGGGCCGACTCCAAAAACTCGACGAGTGCACCACGATGCCACTTTTAAAAGAAAAGTCATTGCGTGTGCTGAAACAGACGGAAATCGGGCTGCATCGCGGTCATTCGGAATTCCCGAAACGTGCGTGCAGGACCGGCGGAAACAAAAGCAGAAGATTGTCGACAGCAAAACTTCACGCAAAGGCTTCAGTGGACCACAGCAGGGTCGGTTTCCGCAAATTGAAGAACTGCTCGGCGAGTATGTGCTTGAGCAGCGAGCCGCACAGCGGCCCGTGACGACAGAACTGCTCCAAGTGCGGGCTATACAATTAGTCTTAGAAAAAGGTCTAATGCGGAGCCAGTTTAAAGCGAGCAGGTGCTGGCTAACTAACTTTATGAAGAGGAAAGGCTTTTTCCTCCGAAGGGGAACATACATATGCGAAAAGTTTTGCGAAGGAGTACGATGAAAAGCTTCACAGTTTTCAGAGGTTCGTTCTAAGCTTGCAGCACAACAATGGCTACCTGCTTGGGCAAATCGGGAATGCCGATCAGACGCCTCTTTACTTCGACATGCCTGGCACCACAACCGTCGAGAAAAAGGGGGCAAAGGAAGTTCGCGTGCTGACATCGATCCACGGTAAAACTACAGTGACGGCAATGCTCTGTTACACGTCAGATGGGCACAAGCTTCCCCCGTACCTCATATTTAAATGGAAGACGCTCCCGAAAGGAGTTGTTTTTCGAGTGATGTGATCATGCGGGCCAGCGAGAAAAATGGGTGCGCGGTGCAATTGATGTCTTTTTTTTTTTTTCGTCGTGGAAATCGGGTGCGCGTTACTATCGAGGGCGCGGTAGAATCGAGTAAATACGGTACCTGACCATGTTTAACATTGTTAACGATAACTGACACAAGGCATTCTGGAATATAGTAGCATTCTTTACTTCACTGTGTTTTTTGTGCGAGAATTTCACGATGGAATTAAAATTCGGGGTGTTGCCAATACCACAATTTCATTGTTAAACACATACTATTTGTGATGGAAACCATAAATTTCGGCTACTCACGGTTATAACATACATAAATTTAAGTGCACTGGGTGAGAAAAAAAATCAATTGTTCAACTACTGATTTTTGATTGTAAGTAATTTTCTACTTTCATATATTTGCTACTTAGCCAATAATGTGTTTGCTAAACTAGCCTGCTAATTTTCGTTGCACTGATAGAAGTCGGCTGGAAGAAAACAGTTTGTGCCTTTTGTATGTGTGCAGGTTCCTGGACCAAGTATCTCGCCAGCCCCTCAATTGCTTTGTATAATTATATTTACTATAAAGCATCCAAATTTTGAGACAAAGTGTGCAGTCATTGTTATGTGGAATAAATGTTACAAGTATGCAACAAGATTTGTTGAAATTTTGCATTTACTTTTGGATGTGCAGTATGATGCATTCCAGGTAACACTAGAAACAATAATGAGTTGGCGTTTAAAAGCCCGTCTTCTCTCCAAGCAAAACAGATTATCGTAATGATAGATGGCAGTCGGTAATTAATTTTTTCAGTGAATATGGCACCAATTTTGCTGATTAGAATAGTGCCAGCAATAGTTTGATGCCAAATTATGTTGCTGTTACTACTTGTCACTCTCAACAGTAAACAGCTAAATGTACCGATTGCAAAACGCTGACATGATGCAACAAATAAACCACGGAAAATGTTTAACAATCTAATTTGCATAGAAAATAAATGTCTAAAGAAGGTGTTAATATCTAGCAAAAGTATTTTTAGAATTTTGGCAAGAACTTTACTAGGCTTCTAATATTATAAGTATAGTAAACATTTGCAAGGGTTCTTTAAAAATATAGGAAAATGTTTTTTAGAATTCTTGCTACAAGTTTTCTACCCGTATAGTAATGTGGCGTTAGCACAGTTTTCAACTGCTTACGTTCAAATAACATCTCGAGAAGACTTTTTATGTACCTTTAGAATATCCTTTTTGGACATTTACTAGAAGTTTTTTAGCTTTTCTTGTGCTTCCTGGGAATGACGTAGCTCAGGGGTACAACACCTGCTTGCCACGCAGGAGGACTGGATCTGATTATCAGTCGAACCAAAGTGTTTCGCTATTTACTTATTTATTTATTTGCACCACTCTCGAGTTCTCATTTACGGAGAAAGCTATTCTTGTGCTCACAATGAACGACACCAACAGCAGAACATATACGAAACAAGCTCTATCTATTGAATCATATATTGCTGGGCTCGCTATAGCGATAGACTAATTTATCTAAGTTGTTCAACAACAGAGCATTGACTATTAAATAAGCAAACTTATCAGTTGTATTACGATTGTAAACATTATCACAAGTTAGTTATTACACCAAGAGAAAATGCAAGTTATGTGTCAACAGTTTTTAGTCGCTTTGTTCTGAGAAAATGGATTTGGTCTTGTGGTAAAGCTGGCTGAAGAGGACATTGCGCATAAAAATATTCCGCTCAGTTGAGGGTGTATAAATTGAAGCCTCTTGCAAAGTCAAACTTTGACAAGTAAAGAAATGCACTCAGTTCTGCTGCTGTCACCGTGAAGCATGCCCAAGTCCTACGGGGTGAACGGAAATATTGAGTGCAAAAAAAAAAAAAAAAAAAAAGCGAGACGTTTACAAGAACAGGGCACAAGACAGACGCCTGTCCTGCTTCCTGTTCTTGTGAATGCCTTGCTTTTTGTGCTCAATGTTTCCGTTTCCTATGCACCCTCTCATGGAATTTTCGATTTTATTAAATATCCTATGGTATCCTTGTGGTTAAAAAACGGTAAGGTTTGAGATAACGATCCAACGTGTGTTTTGCTTCTACTCACCAGATCGTGGTCTCGCGGCGACCGCACAAGGCACATGGGCTTCTTGGCCATGTCAATGGTGACTTCTACCACAAGGGTCGACACTGACTTGAAGTCGACTTTCCGAAGTACTTCACCCTTTCTATTCACTGTCGACAGAGACTCGTCTGGACCAATCTTGACCTTCACAAACCGCTTGTGGTTTTGGTGCAGCCATTCCTTGACATCTGCATTTGAGATTGACTTATCATGTACAGCCACTTACCAAAACGCTAGCCAAGGTATGTCAAAAGGCCACAATCATTCGGTGTCAAACAACATAAATGTGACCACTGCAAATGAAGGAGAGAGACAAGAAGCAGCAGAACCCTGCCATGCGACTTTTTTCTTCACCTTGTGCTCGGAGCACGAGACTAATGTGCTCAAGTTCGCATGTTTGTGCTCTTGTTGTACTTAAGTGGAGATGCTACTCGAAGACACTTTTTCTTTAATATTCACCGCGGAGGAATGAAACTTGAGCTGTTTATGGAACTTTTTATGCTGATTTCAAATATTTATTTAGTTTTCTTGCAAGTTACACACTTTTAGCTCTGCAACATCACAAAGTGAAAACCTTAACCCTTTAGCCCGTCCTCTTTTCATCCCTAAAATTCTGTAATTTTTTACCATTCATAGTTCATAATGCTTCAAATAAAGTCTAGAATGCAAATAACTAATTAGAAAGCCCATACAAAATATGTAATACGCGTGAAAAATAATAGACGTAAAAAGCCCATATTTCACCTGCCCTACTAAAGGTATACATACATATTTTTTATTATACGATGAAATGTTGAAATTTAAACTAGATAATTGAATTCGGCATACTTTGGAAAAAATTTGGGCGAAATTTCATGCAGATCCGAGCACTAGAAATGCCCGAAAAAGGAGGGGCACATTGGAAGAAATGGCAAAATTTGTGATTTGAAAAAAAAAAAGTTTTAAAGTTAAAATTGAGTTTTTATTTATGAAAAATATTATCAAATCAGATGAAATTCGCACACCAAAAAGAACAATCCTTCTCGTAGTGGCCACTGCGACTAAAATACACCAGCACCATAAGTTTGTCCCTCTCGGCGTTTTCGAACCAACTCCTCACAGACATTTCGCTCACAGACAGGGCCATGAAACGCTTGCTAAACTTCCGCTCCATCTGACAGAGCCTTGTACCGACTGCAAGCTAGAAAAAAGTTCGACAGGACTGCAAAATCCAAACTAAGTCCAGTGTCATGCCATTTTGCAGCCATGTTTGTGCCACATACCGTCGTACATAATGGCAAAGTCGTCCCTGCTAAGTACTCTCACTGCGAGCCCCTTCGACCTCTCAAGATTGGTGCTGACGTCATCCATTGCCACATCACAAACTTTCTGGCTGACGGTGTTGAATGACTTTGATGCATTGGCTTTTGCAAGCCAACAATTGCCGCAAATCGGACCAGCTGCTCGTAGCCTGTTCCTAGAGAGCGCGCCGAACAACGGCTTTCAGTTGCGAGCAATGCATTTTTTCATTCAGAATGGAGATAATTACACGAGAAAGCATTGTTAAGCTGCACTGCTCGACAAGAGATGGAACCCACAAACAATTTTCACAGCACATACAGGCGCGCAGCGGCCAATGGCGGTACCAGATTTGTACCATGTGATAAGCCAGTCGCGACGCTCGAAAAACGCACAGAAGAGTGATTCTTTTTATTATTTCTTGCGCTGCATCAAAGAGAAAAACTGTTGTTATTTGTAGAGTGAGGCTCGACTCTTGGACTCATGCGATCAACAATGGCTTGCGGCGGTGCATTATCGGCGGCAAGGTGCTCGAAGAATGCACACTTTCGACCTTTTAACAGGCACCTTGTGCTCTTTGGATAAAATTTAAAGCATTTCCAGTTAAGTCGCTTCCTGTAATATTTTTTTCATAACAGTAGACGTACTAATCTTGTCAAAACAGGCGAATATAAAAAATCGGTAACTTTGAAAAAAAAACTCGCGTTTTTCGACCTGAATCTCCCCTTAAGTTTCCTTCCTACTGTACAGAAGCCGCCGAACACTGAAGTGGGTCGAACTCTTATGTGCTTTCTAGTGGGTCTGCCCAAAGAGAACGCCGCTCGCGCGGAGACCCCGTGTTTTGGCCGTTACTGTCGCCATTGTGTAGACTCGCTGTGTGCCGGCTAATAAACGCCATAACAAATTGGTGGAGAGTGCTACGATCCCCTTCGATGCCCTTGGAACTACGCTCACGTACGCTGCAATCTACCATGTCCCACGACGCCTCTCAGCAAACGCCTCCTCCCATGCCACCCCCATGTCCCGGTGTCCCCAGGATCCGCGATCCACCCATCTTCACGGGCGCCGATGGCACTGACGTGGAGGACTGGCTCGCCATTTACGAGCGCGTGAGCGTCCCCAACAAATGGGACGAGGACGGCAAGTTGACAAACTTGGTGTTCTACCTTGCGGGTGTTGCAAGTTTGTGGTACACCAACCACGCGTCCGAGTTTGCAACCTGGTCCGGTTTCAAGACTGCTATCACCAACGTTTTTGGCCGCCCTGCCGTTCGCAAGCTGCAAGCCGAGCAGCGCTTACGCGAACGCGCTCAGCAGGCCGGTGAGTCATTCACCAGTTACATTGAAGATGTCCTGGACTTGTGCAAGAAGTCGAACGACAGCATGTCCGAATCAGACAAGATCCGGAACGTCATGAAGGGCATTGACGATGATGCCTTCACGATGCTGCTTGCCAAAAACCCAGGCACAGTAGCTGAGGTCATCACGCTGTGCCAGAGCTACGAGGAGCTCCGCCGGCAGCGTTCGATGACCCGTCGCTCCACACCACGAGATGCAGGGCTTGCAGGCTTGGAGGCGAACTGTGACCAGGTGGCACTGCTGGCAGACCTCAAGTCCTTCATACGTGAGGAAATCGCGCGGCAGTTCTCTCTCCTGCCCTTTGCCCACCCACCGGCTGCTCAACAATCGGCCCCTACCATTCTTCCACCCATCCGCCGAGCGATTGAGCAGGAAATAGCGGAAGTCATGCCTGCGTACCACCCACAACAACTTCCGGCCCCTGCACCCCCAAGTTACGCCCAAGTGGTCGCAAGGCCGCCTCCAGTCGTTCAAGCGCCTGCACCAGTGACTTACGCCGAAGCTGCCGCACGACCTCCGTCCTTTGCAGCGGGTATGCCGGCTGCATATGTTGGCGCAACCCCTCAGCCTCATTTTCAGCCCACCATGCAGCCTTTCCAGACACCGTTCCGGGCGAGACCCACTCCGGCAAACCGATGGCGCACACCCGACAACCGGCCCATCTGCTTTGCTTGCGGTTACGCCGGTCACGTAGCCCGTTATTGCTCTCGACTACAGCCGGCTCCCACTTCTCCTGTTGCTGGCCACCTTAGCCGTTCGTATAACGAGGAACTGCCGTCTGTGCCACTGTCGTCTCGCCCAGGTCCGTCTGCTCGAAGGTCGCCGTCTCCACGACGTCGGTCTCTGTCCCCCATGCGGCCAAGTTCTTCTGCTCATGAGCGGGAAAACTAGTCGTCGCAGTCCCAGAGGCAAGGACTGCGACGCTATCGCATTGTGAAAGCTCTCAGAGCCGCCCATCTAATGTCATTGACGTGCTTGTGGACGGTGTTCATGCATCTGCTCTTATTGACACTGGAGCTGCGGTATCAGTTATGAGCGAAAACCTTTGCCGCTTGCTTCGAAAAGTGACGACGCCGATTTCTGGACTGTCCCTTCGTACCGCTAGCTCACATCGTATTAATCCTACAGCAGGCTGCACAGCTCGCGTTGTCGTTCAGGACGTTCTGTATGTCGCCCAATTCATCATCATTCCTGCATGCTCTCATGACGTCATCTTGGGATGGGATTTTCTCTCCCGCAACGACGCCGTCATTCATTGTGCCGCCGCCGAAATTGAACTCTCGCCCTTCTCGCATTTGACGCCAGAAGACGGTCCCTCGACACTGAACAAGATTCTTGTGAAAGACGATACTATAGTGCCTCCAAGCTCGACGATGGGCGTATCGGTCTACTGCACCGGTCTCTCCGACACAATTGCACTTGTTTCGCCATCCTACCGTGCTTCCAGGAGGAAAGGGTTGCTACTACCTTTCGCGACCGTGCAAATCACCCAAGGCAACGCCGCTATTTTTGTGACCAACCCATCCCCGTACACTGTTACCTTGGTTCAAGTGGAATGTCTTGGCAGAGTGGAAGCAGTCGACGACGCACAAGTCCTGGATGTACCCGAAGACTCGCGTTGTCCCGATTCACGTACCATCAGTGCTGTTTCTACTTCTGACCCATCATCTCCTGATGTATTTGGCCCATTCATTGATGACAACCTTACGTCAGTGCAGCGTTCCCAGCTTCTAGACCTGTTGCAAGAATACCGTTCTTCTTTCGATGTCGGGCGAAGTTCTCTCGGTCGCGCGTCCACTGTTACGCATCGTATTGACACTGGTGCCCATCCACCATTACGGCAACGTCCATACCGCGTGTCGCCTGCTGAACGCCGGCAAATTAACGAGCAGGTTGACGATATGCTCCGACGCGACGTCATTCGGCCCTCGGACAGTCCATGGGCGTCTCCTGTTGTTCTTGTTGCGAAGAAAGATGGTTCTGTGCGGTTCTGTGTGGACTACAGACGGCTCAATAAGATCACTCGCAAGGATGTCTACCCACTGCCGCGCATCGACGACGCAATTGACAGCCTTCACGGAGCCCAATTTTTTTCTTCTCTCGATCTGCGCTCGGGGTACTGGCAAGTACCCCTGGCTGATGACGCTCGACCGAAGACTGCCTTCATCACACCCGACGGCTTGTACGAATTCAACGTCATGCCGTTTGGTCTGTGTAATGCACCTGCGACATTTGAGCGCATGATGGACACCGTACTGCGCAACTTGAAATGGCACACGTGCTTGTGTTACCTCGATGACGTTGTTGTCTTCGCTCCAGATTTCTCCACCCATCTCCAACGTCTAAAAGAAGTTTTCGCACGTGTGAGCAATGCCGGCTTGCAACTAAATCTGAAGAAGTGCCGCTTTGCAGCACGCCAACTCACCATCCTAGGGTACGTCGTGTCCAAGGATGGCATTCTTCCTGACCCAGCCAAGCTTCGGGCCGTGGCCGAATTCCCAAAACCTGCGTCCTTCAAAGAACTGCGTAGTTTCGTGGGCCTGTGCTCATACTTCCGACGCTTTATACGAAACTTCGCCACGATTATATCACCGCTGACGAAGCTCCTCGGAAGTAACGGGCCCCTCAATTCGTGGTCGTCAGAGTGCGACAACGCGTTCTTGAAGCTCCGCCACTTGTTGACGTCTCCTCCCATTCTCCGCCACTATGACCCTACGGCCCCAACAGAAGTGCACACGGACGCCAGTGGTGTAGGCCTCGGCGCTGTCCTGGCGCAGCGCAAACCCGGGTTCCCTGATTATGTTGTGGCATATGCAAGCCGTACGCTCACAAGAGCCGAGACAAACTACACCGTCACGGAAAAAGAGTGCCTGGCAATCGTCTGGGCTTTTACAAAGTTTCGACCTTATTTGTATGGTCGCCCATTCGATGTCGTCACTGACCATCATGCACTATGCTGGCTGTCATCATTGAAGGATCCCTCAGGCCGCCTCGCCCGTTGGGCTCTTCGCTTACAAGACTACGACATCCGCGTCCTCTACCGCAACGGACGCCAGCATGCTGACGCCGACGCCCTCTCGCGCTCCCCTCTGCCTGAAGCTAACGCGCTCTGCTCAGTATCCTCGGTTGTTGTTTCTGCCATTGATGTTGACATCATCGCTACCGAACAGCGAAAGGATAATTGGATCGCCCAACTGATCGACTTGCTCTCTGATCCGTCCGCAACGCCATCCACGCGTGCCTTGCGTCGTCGAGCTCACCATTTCGCCATTCGTGACGGCCTCCTACATCGACGCAATTACGACGCCGATGGCCGGCAGTGGCTACTCGTGATACCCCGCAGTCTGCGGTCGGAGATATGTGAATCCTTCCATTCTGATCCACAGTGCGCGCACTCTGGGGTATTCAAAACCTACCATCGCATTAGACAACGCTACTTCTGGCGCGGGATGTACCGCTACGTCCAGCAGTTCGTTCGCTCCTGTCTCGCTTGCCAACGCCGCAAACCGTCCGCACACATGTCACCAGCCGGTCTGCAACCGCTACCTTGCCCTGACCGTCCGTTTGGGCGCATAGGTATCGATTTGTACGGACCACTTCCTCTGACGTCCACTGGCAACCGCTGGGCCATCGTCGCCGTAGATCATTTAACGCGATACGCCGAAACCGCCGCTCTCCCTGCGGCTACTGCGCGTGATGTTGCGTCCTTCCTACTACATCGATTTATATTGCGCCACGGTCCACCCCAGGAGCTTCTCAGTGATCGAGGCCGTGTCTTCTTGTCAGAGGTCGTCGATGCCATTCTCACTGAGTGCCATTCTGTCCATCGCAAAACTGCTGCTTACCACCCGCAGACGAATGGTCTGACCGAACGCTTTAACCGCACCCTCGGCGACATGCTGTCGATGTACGTCGCCGCCAACCACACGAATTGGGATACCATACTGCCCTTCGTCACTTATGCCTACAACACCGCCCCTCAGAGCACGACTGGTTTTTCACCTTTCTTTTTGCTGTACGGAAGGCACCCGTCACACACCATCGACACGATACTCCCGTACACGCCGGATCCATCTGAGTGTACACCTATTTCCGAGACCGCCAGGCTTGCTGAAGAGTGTCGCGAGCTTGCCAAGACTTTTACGACGCATGAGCAAGAGCGGCAGAAGAGTATTCGTGATGGCTCCGCCACTTCTGAGCCCACCTTCCTTCCTGGTTCCCTTGTATGGCTCTCAATCCCGACCTCTGTAACTGGCCTTTCTTCCAAACTACTCCCGAAATATGAAGGTCCCTACCGTGTGATCGAGCGCACATCTCCGGTCAACTATCTTATCGAGCCAATTGAACAATCTTCGGACATGCGCCGCCGCGGGCGCGACATAGTCAACGTGGAGCGTCTGAAGGCTTACTATGACCCGCTCGTAGTGACAAGCTGTTAGGTCGCCAGGCGGCTCCCTCTTCGACCCCGGGGTAATTGTACAGAAGCCGCCGAACACTGAAGTGGGTCGAACTCTTATGTGCTTTCTAGTGGGTCTGCCCAAAGAGAACGCCGCTCGCGCGGAGACCCCGTGTTTTGGCCGTTACTGTCGCCATTGTGTAGACTCGCTGTGTGCCGGCTAATAAACGCCATAACACTACTTATAATTGTGATTTACATTCCTTATTCATTGCTTTCCAAAGTGATTTCAGAATGCTTGTCGAATGTGCCAGTATTCATTCCAATATCCAAGTTCTTATATTGGAAGAAATTGTGTTTCACCAAACATCGATATAGGTGTAATGCCAATATTAATAATATAGGTGGTTTCACATTCTCAGACTCCGATATGATTATAGAGAAGGTCGTGATGAAGGGCTCTGGAAAATTGAATCATCCAGTGTTCATTAACAGGCACTGACAATGCATAGTACATGAGCCACAGCCATTTTGCCTTCACTGAAATGTGACTGGTGCAGCTGGGATCGAATATCTTCAGTTCAACAGCCGAGCACCATAACCGCTACATCAAAGTGGTGGACTGATGGCCTAACGCTAATGCTGACATTTTCAGACGTGCAAAGGTTGGCCAGCGTGCTTTATAGGTAGAGATATAGTATGGACCACATTGATTCTTTGATATCGATGCTCTGTTAGACGAACGTTTTAGAAAAGGTTTAGATTGCAGATCAAGTAGCACCTAAAATACTTCTGTAACACCATGGAATGAGCAAGCACTCTTCATTTCAGGAAAAGTAAATTTAGGTTTGATGTTCTGCTGAGGCTGACATTGTTCTAAAATAATTTAAACACAGTGGCGAAACCATAGATACTTACACAGCTTGTCATAGTTCTTCCCTATCGCCGTATCTTTTTTAGCCTTGATGATCCTTCGCCTCTTGTTTTGCAGTTTTATTACTCCATATCCGACACCTGCGCATACTTCAAAAAGACGAGAGTCGGATAGTTATACTGTGTAGCATTGCATCATAAAGCATGCCATGGAGAGCACACAATGTAATAATGTTTAGAACTGTGCATAATATGTGCTGAATGCTGATGTTGAACGAGTTATATGTAAAGCCAACGCCTTGAAAAAATAGGACAATCACAAGCAATTTTCGCCAACATTGGTGTGCAATTATTATTGAGGTTAATTTAATGGGTTTCGGAACACTCACGTACTTATAGGAATGAAGGCCAAAATAAGACACGAGTAGATGTAAGCCACCTCGTTGCCCCTAAAATAGTCCCAGCCATCCAAGATCATGCAGGGCTCCAAAACAGAACTGTTTATCTGCAGCGGCTGCGGACATGGGTCCCCTGCAAGGAAGCGAAAAAAACGTTGAAAGCCTGAACACCTCTCACTGCAAATAAGTGAGCCACATACAATGTAACAATGCTCATCGACAAAGACTAATATTGTACGCTGTTCATCAAGTGGGTATTGACATAAACTTCACTGCTTGCACAGCCTACATCGATTTCTCAGACTGCGATACACCACACGTGATATATTAATCAAGACAGAGCACAGCGTGCATGAACCTCCTCACTTTTAGCCATAACTGGTCGTGCCTCCTCCTCGCCCCCAATGCAGCCTCCCCCCCATTGGTACCGCCTCTCTGGCACGCTCCCTAGAAATACTGCCTCGTCTGAAATCCTACTGAAACCACCTGTCTGGGTATCTCATAATCAGAGCAGTACATGCGGACACTCATCTCTCACAAGACCCACACAAAAAAGTGTTCTCCGGTTAAGAAGAAAGAAAGAGGATTCATGTGAGCGTGTTTCAAATAAATGAAATGAAAATTTAAAAAATGATGCATGGCATAGTGGGGGGAGGAGAAGAAACAAGCTGCTACAGTTCCTGTTCCTGTGAGAACACAAACGATTGTGTACACTGCTATCTTCCCTCTAGTTGGCCTTGCGCACCCCCCAAAAGCCATAAGTAAGTGCTAGTCTCGACGAAGCGCCTGCGTTATAGGACTAATGGGGAGACATTTGAACGTCTGCTCTTTACACCTGGAATTACCGTCACGGTGATCAAGTAGTTACGGTGGACTACTGATCCCATTGCTGGCCCAATGAAATTCAGGGTGTGGTGGCCACATTTTCAATACCATTTAACAACTTGAAACCAGTGTAATTATATCTATGTGCATTGCTCAAATTCAGCTGCGCATAAAAAACAAACAGTCCAACTGGAGGCTTCCTTCCAATCCCTCAAGCAATCATAGTTTTGGGATGTCAAACCCCCAAAATTATTATTATTATCTCATTTGGAGCTAGCCCTTGGTGAGTAAGGTCGTGTTCCAGAGGCAGAACAGCGGGCACTCATTTTTCCAGAGGTTCATCGACAAATTGGAATGTGGTGTGAACATGAACTGCTGAAGGTTTCTTGTGGGAGTCAAAGGTCTGTAGCGTCATAATACATGGAACAAAGTGTCTTTTTGTTTTCTTTCATCCGGTTAGCACAATGTGGCCTGTGTGATGCAGAGAAAGCTTGATGTAGGCGATGAGGTGTAGCACACAAGAAGGTAAAACATTGTGCAAGAAACACGAGGCAGAAACTACAGCTTTCAAAATGAGCTAACCAACCAGGCTTTGCACCATTTTCAGGTACCAGCGTTTGTGAGAAGCTTCTTCAAACACTCAAACTTGAAAGGCAAAGGTGGTGAAAAAAAAAAGAGTACCCAATAAGAAGAGTGTGCATGTTCTCCCGTATCAACATAGGGTTCTGCACTATCTGAAGAAAGTTGTGCAAACAAATAATCTTGTTTTGAGGGCTCCGTGTAAACTGTCCAAGATTTGTCTGATGATAAACACATGCTAAAATACACCCAATTCGAAAAAGATGTCATCTATGAAGTTCCCCTAACCTGCAACAATGTGTACAAAGGTCAAAGGCTGTAACGAGAGGGCGCGAGAACACTATTGAACACTAGACAAGAACGCGAGCTGGCATTTGGCAGTATAGAAAAGATAAAAACAATGAACGATTAGTCGATAAAATGAGCATGGCAAATGAATTGTTTGTATTTCATTTCTACCTTTCAATTAATCGAAATAATCTATTAAGACTCTTCAATTACTCATTCACGGCAACTACCACCCCCAATCACAACACCGCCCTTTGGCCGGTGCGCATGAATACGGGGCAAGCGATGCTGAGACACAGAAGTCGTCTACTTTTTTTCACTACAGCACATATTCATATGCTAGTGGAACAAGCCCATGACCATCTGCAGCCCTACCCCATAGAAGACAAAATGAACTCGCCCCAGTCTTTGCCACCTACGGCCTCCCCCTCCAAGCCCTCCAGAAAGATTCAAGTGTGGGCGGGATGTGGTTTCACCCCGAAGACTCTGAAGTGCACCCGCTTACTCCTCTCTGCTCTCAGCTTAGTGCATTCACCTCCTCTCACCCCCTTTCCTTTTATCGCTAACCATCGGCAGGCGCTATATTGCGTTATTGTTATATTTTCGTGTGTATACTCTTGCCTTTGTCATGTCATAATGACGAGCAATCGCAAGAGGTGCACAAAACATTAAAAACAACGACTGCGATGTCTGATAAAGGTGGTAAGCAGTAGTCGAAGCCAGAGACGTAACTAGGATTCCTTCTGAGTGATGCCCGCTTTATTAATGTGCTAAGAGTCTTCTTCTAAAAAATTGTGATCACTAAAATTACAATGTTGAGGACTCTTTTCGGAAGGCACAAATCCACCTCACCAGATGTGTTATCATTACCTCGCTACTTACCCAAGAGCCTTTGTATAACCTGTCCTGCAAACGAAGTCGCTCTTCACTTACACAGGCAATTTTTGTGTTTAGAAGAAAAGACTCTTGATTAATGAAATTTGTAACGCTTCATCCCCTTCACAGAACCCTTTCCTTTGTCCAAGTGTTTTCATCGCTTTGGCTTCATTAAATAAAAACAGCAAGGCTTACAACACTCAACAGAGAAGTTTGTTAGTTTCAGCGTACTTCAGACGAGTGAGCGCATCATCTAGTTGCATATTTTGTGAGTGTTCTTTTTTTGGCCGTGTGCTGTTTCATTGTGTTTAATCGCACAATCTCCCCTCTCTTTGCCTTTGATTAAGCAGCGAGCTTCTTCACTTGCTGCGTCTATAGAAACTTCTTGGGTACTTTACTTCACTCTGAGGTCCGTCATTGTGAATCAATGGTTACTGTGCTCGGCTGCTGACCCGCAGACACGAATGTAACCTGGGTGCGATGGCTGCACTTCAATGAAGATGAAATTCTAGAGGTCTGCGCATGTCTAACGACCCCGTATACAGGAGCCTAAGAAGTTCCACATAGTATAATATGCGTTGTTTATTTATGGACTGGTTCCTATTGCAGTTGTGTGTTATTCCTTAGAAAATAAAAGCGTATTGTTTACCAAATAATGAAAGAAAGATATAATAAAAGGCACTGAGGGTGGCCTGAGGTGTAGTATACACCTTGGACTGCTACAGTGCTGCGGGGCTAAAGAGTAAGGTGCGCATATATACATATATATACCATATTTACTCGCGTGATCCTCGCACTCGCATAATTCTCGCACCCCCCATATTGCACAACAACAAAAAAAAAACGATTTCTTTTTTTTCCTCAAGTAATTATCGCACCCCCGAAAACTGCCACAATAATGTTGTCTGCTCATTCCAGCCACTGATGATGATAGCGCGCATCATCTGGCGCCATCTCTTAAGCATCAAGCGTACTATTACTGCATGAAGGTTCAATCCAATCCATGCCAAAGTGGCAAATGTGCGTTGCGGCGTGTTTTGTACGTTGTGTCGGTAATCTTGTCAGGTTATGGGGTGATAAATGCAGCTACACGGCTGCTTTCAAGTTGAAAGCGATAGATCATGCACTAAACAACGGCAACAGAGCCACCGCTAGGCCCTTCGGAGTCTACGAGTTTTGTGTTCGCTACTGGTGATGGCAGCTGAAAGCCACCAAGACACGTTGGGTCTGCCATGGGCCTAAAACTGGGACTGGTCGTAAACTTTACTTCTTCAGAAGGAAACTGCAGATGATTCTGTTAAATAGCCATTAGCCCGATACTGACATCCTACGCTTACCTTTTGAGGGCTCCTGTTGCGCGACCAATGCTACCGCTACGCCCGCAACACTCACAAGCTTTGCATATGGTATTCTAATTCTCGACTATTTGCTTTAATTTTCGAATATTTGCTTGCACTTTCAGTGTCTCAAATAAATCTTGCCTTGTTCTGAACCAGTGCTTTTAATGTCGAGGTAAGTTTTAATTCATCATCATCATCAGCTTGACTGCGTCCACTGCAGGACAAAGGCCTCTCCCATGTTCCGTCAGTTAACCCGGCCCTGTGCTTGCTGCTGCCAATTTATACCCGCAAACTTCTTAATCTCATCTGCCCACCTAACCTTCTGTCTCCCCCTAACCCGCTTCCCTTCTCTGGGAATACAGTTAGTTACCCTTAATGACCAGCGGTTATCCTGTCTACGCGCTACATGCCCGGCCCATGTCCATTTTCTCTTCTTTATTTCAACTATGATATCCTTAACCCCCGTTTGTCCCCTAATCCACTCTGCTCTCTTCTTGTCTCTTAAGGTTACACCTACCATTTTTCTTTCCATTGCTCTCTGCGTCGTCCTCAATTTAAGCTGAACCCTCTTTGTAAGTCTCCAGGTTTCTGCTCCGTAGCTAAGTACCGGCAAGATACAGCTGTTATATACCTTCCTCTCGAGGGATAGTGGTAATCTACCTGTCATAATTTGAGAGTGCTTGCCGAATGTGCTCAACCCCATTCTTATTCTTCTAGTTACTTCAATCTCGTGGTTAGGCTCTGCGGTTACCTGCCCTAAGTAGACATAGTCTTTTAAAACTTCAAGTGCACTATTACCTATCTCGAAGCGCTGCTCCTTTCCTAGGTTGTTGTACATTACTTTCGTTTTCTGCAGATTAATTTTAAGACCCACCTTTCTGCTCTCCTTGTCTAACTCCGTAATCATGAGTTACAATTCGTCCCCTGAGTTACTCAGCAATGCAATGTCATCGGCGAAGCGCAGGTTACTAAGGTACTTTCCATTAACTCTTATCCTTAACTGTTCCCATTCTAGGCTTCTGAAAACCTCCTGTAAGCACGCGATAAATAGCATTGGGGAGATTGTGTTCCCCTGCCTTACACCCTTCTTGATTGATAATCTGTTGCTTTCTTTATGAAGCACTATGGTAGCAGTTGATCCCCTGTAGATTTCTTCCAGGATGTTTATATATACTTCTTCAATGCTTTGATTCCGCAGTGTCTGCATGACGGCTGATATTTCTAC